CCCCCCCCGGGCCCTTTCTAGCCTATGAGTTGTTGTGTGCAATAGCATACATATAATAGTACAAGTCGCCGCATGGCTTTAATGCTCAATTCCCTCTCTTCGAGGACAGCCTAGTCATCGTCCAAGTTGCCGACATTGGGACCCTTGGGCTTTTCGCTCCATGAACGAGCCCCCCATCTCCAGAGACTCCTCAGGCTACCCTTGATCCAGCCCTCGACCTCCTCCTCCGGCACGATAATTTTGGCCGCGCGCTCCTCGTCTTGGGGCCGAATCTCGAAGCGCCTCATGCGCTGCGCAATTCGCGCATCAATGACCATGGGGCTCGCCCAGCTTCTCTCCTTTTTAGGTTCGGAAGCAGCCTTTTTCTTGTCCTCTTCCGTGGCGGGCTCCTCTTCCTTCCACGTGCTCTTGGGCCAGTCCCGCTCTTCTTGTTCCAGGAGGAGCTGCTGCTCGTACCGGCCGTCGGCCTCGCGGTAGTCGCGGGCGGTGGCGAAACAGACGGCCGCCACCTGGCGGCCAATATCGTCGGCGAGCTTGCGGCGGTTGAGGAAGCGGCCGAGGCGGACGAATGTCTGGCTGAAGCCGAGACGATGGGGAAAAGGGATGGCAGCCGAGGGGGAGAATTCGGACGGCATGTGGACGGGGAGAGAGGCGGACTCGTAGTCGTCTGTGGTGTTGTGCGGGCGGGGCTGCGGCGGCCGGGACGGCTTGTCTTCCTTCTTTTGCTCCTCCTTTTTCTCCTCGGGTTTGCTCTCGGCGGCCTTGTCGCCGGCTGGAGGACTTTCGGAGTCGGGCTTTGTGTCTACATTGGGCTCTGGTTCCGGCAGAGGCGGCGCATCCAGAGGACCGAGCCAGCCCTCGTGCAGACCGCGTATGTACTCCTTCCAGGCATGGCGCCCGATGACAATATCACCCTTGACGCCCTCATACTCCTTGAGGCCCATCTTCCTTCGCATCTCCTCCACGATCGAATCATCCGTCTTGGGGATCTCCGCGCCCGGACGCTCATCCACCATTCTCGACCGCCGAATCCTCTCTGCCACTGCCGCCCGCACGTCGCCCTGCTGCCTCCCCTGGACAAACTCCCAGTCCAGCCCAGACGCCGACAGCACCGGCTTCACATACTCGATGAAATGGTCCTGAGCGGCGCGCAGCCCGTCGCCGGGCGGTGCCTCCAGATAGACGGTGAGTTTTCGGGGCAGGGCGTTGGCAGGGCCGATCAGCTCGCGGGACAAGGGCTCGACGGCGCGGCGCCATTTCGCAGTCGCGCGGTTCTTCTCGCGCTTGTCGTAGATGATGGCCGTGGTGAAGGCGCCTGTGATGGCCCAGAAAATCATCCAGTTCCGTGAGGGGAGCTTCTTGGGGAGCGCAGGGAGGCCGAGCATTTTGAGAGCCGGGTTGCGAGGTTTCGGGGGAAGACCTGCCCCGGCACGGGCCTTTTCGGCTTTTTGCTGCTCGTCCATTTGGACAGTCTTCATGTAAATGGCTATATGTGAATCACTCGACCTAATGAGGAAAAAAAAAAGATGTGTACAAAATGGTCGTTGGCGCTTGTGACGCCGCGCCGAGATGTAGAGCAGCAGAGTGCTGGTTGGGGTTGTCGTCTTCGACTCTTCGATGCTGGGCAAAACAATTGGGTGCGATAAGGAGATGGCGTCTGATAAGGCTCGGAATGGAAAAACGAACAAGCTCGGGGTTGAGCTCACTACGTTCCGGAACTACGGCGCGCCTTGTAAGCATCGCTGCGATAGCAAATGTAAAATTTGTACAATAGTTCTTGTATTTTAAACGAGGCTGCTCAGTCGACCATGTGATCAACCGTGCCGTCTTACCACCTCGTCACGTACAGTACCATGGCCCGTCTTGCCATCACCATCACCCCCGCGATCACAATGCATGGGAAGAGACAGCGACTACCGGGACTGGCCCTTTGGCGCCTATGACATTGAAGAGTGATTTGAATACGGGCATAGTGGGGAGTGGAGGTTCGTGGCGCACAGGAGATGATGGTTTTGACCGGGTCTGAGCCTTCGAGAAGGGGGGATATAGTTGGAATGTCATTTGGGCTGGGCGTTTGGTGTTTTGGGCGGCAAACTGGCAGCATTCAGGTTTGACATAACTTGCGGTAGAGTCAAACAAGTGAGTGGTTCCCCGTTTGCGGGATCGAGCATTTACTTGCGTCCACCTGGGATCCCAGGGGTCTGAGTTGGGATATATTTCATGTACGGTACCCATAGAGCACCTTGCATTACGTTGTTCATTTCCTGGTCCCTATGTGCATGAAAACCCCGCCGGCAGCCACACAGATGGCATATAGCAAAACTCAAATAAGGCATGCATATAGGGCGTGGAAGCGGCAGACGGAAGCGCAATGGCAATGTCATCTTGTTGGGGATCTGAAGGTGATGAACTTGGGGTGTAAAATTTACTCTCGGCACGGGGGGATGAGATGGGAGCTTTTGCACCGTGGCAGACATACGTACTTTCTCGGAGCAGTCAAGTATTGTGGAAAATTGTCGGTGTGCAAGACAAACGGTGAAGACAAGAGGCGCGATAAAAAGCCCGTGATGTCTGCTCCGGAGCAACTACTGCGCAGACTGCATGAAGATGTCCACTTGAGCAGACGGCCCGCTTCCGCACTCAGATTTATGAAAGGCTACTCCATAATTACAAAAGCTTTGGAGCAAACTGCCCAGCTCAGGACAGGGTTCGTTCATTTCTCGGCCGGACAGACGGTCAAGCTACACAGGCCTGATGTTGACGAGCCAGGTTGCGATGCCGTCGGTGATGAGTGATGGACCATGCCGTGACGGGGCGAGACATGCAGCATGACACGCGCTATGACGCTGCTCTGGCCTCGAGCGGCTACTCCCACGAATGACTTGTTGCCATGACACGGCAAATTGAGTGACTTGCACGGAGTACTCAACTAACTTGGGCGAGCAATCAAATCGACTGGCACACCGGGTTGCAAGACGCTGAGTGTCAAAGTGCTTCCCCTGGTCCCCACCACGGGCGAGCCCCTGGGCGTAGATGGGAAGTGGCGTCGTGGGACTCGTGCTCGAGTTTGTTGTTGGACAGTTGCGGGTTGACCGCCCCTCATCCTCGACTTTACAGAGCACGGAACAACCATCCGTTGTCGAACTGATAGATCATAGATGGATCGATGGATGAATGAAGCAAGTGGGAGGTAAAAAGGGTGAACCACTAAAGTATACCATAGTATATTGGTGTATGCTTCGCGATGGGTAAACATCTTCTGCCGCAGACTGACTGTCTTCGTTGCTTTCGTGACAGTCAGTCCGAATCCATCAACAACAAGTGACAACGTTAGCCAACCATCTTAGAAAAAAAGCAAATGGAACAAACATTACCTAGAAGATCCAATCGTGTCGGGTCCCGCTGTTTTCCTGTGGCCTGAATGAAATGAATCAATGAGCGGATGGCTGAAGATTGAATGGCTGAATGCCCCGAGTTCCTGGCGCCACCGCCGCATTCCCAGGTCCGAACTAGAAAGAAGCAGCAACACGAGGTTCCACCGCGCCTTCCTCAACCTGGCACTGGGCACTGAACACTAAGCAGTGCATCGTCCCCTTAACCAACGACCCCTCGACCTGCGATTCTCGACCTTGGTCCTTCACCACCACGCCGCCGCCGTCGTCCGTCCAAGTCCAATTCCCCCCCAGACAGCTCGGATCGTCGCGGGCCATTGCCAGCACAATCGTCAATCCCAATCATGGACCCCAACGGCAACCGCTTGCACCTCAACTTTGGCAATAATGACCGCCTTCCGGTAAACGACCGAGCCTACCCCACGACACCATCGACGTTCCCCCAGCCCGTCTTCCCACCGCCTAACCCACAGCAGGCCCAAGGAGGCCTTCAACCACAACAGCAGGCCTATGCTGGCGGTTATGCTCCCCAGGGCTACTTTGCGCAGCCTGGTGCAGCCTATCCTGCCGCCTATCCTGCACAAGCCGTCAACAACGACTATGCCCACGCCCAGAATGGCTACTATCAGGCGAGGTCCAATACCCCTGGTACTAATGACCCAAACACCGGTCTAGCCCACCAGTTCTCTCATCAGAATCTGGGTGGTGCCGCAAGAGTTGCTCCCCGGGGGCCTTCTCCCTCACAGCGTCCACGAACCGCTGGTAGCCACCCTGGCGGCTACACCAACTATTCCAATGCGAATGCGCCGCCTCTGCCTTCTCAAACGGCGCCCATCGGCAGCGAGTTCCAGGCCGCTCCCGAGAGGAACCCAGACCGTTATGGCACCAACGCCAACAGTAATCAGAAGAAATGCTCACAGCTGGCTGCGGATTTCTTCAAGGACAGTGTAAAGCGAGCCCGTGAGCGCAACCAAAGGTACATATTATATACACACACACACATACATATATACATCCCCCTCAAATCCCGCTTCCCTTTATGTATCTATTTTTCAATGTGGTTGCGACTGTCCAAGCTGTTTGCTGATACACCCCAATCTAGACAAAGCGAGCTGGAGCAAAAGCTTCAAGATCCTTCACAGAGTGCCACTAGGAAAGAGCAGCTGTGGTCGACCGCGGGCCGCAAGGAGGGACAGTATCTGCGTTTCCTGCGAACCAAAGACAAGCCCGAAAACTACAACACGGTTAAAATCATTGGCAAGGGTGCCTTTGGTGAGGTCAAGCTGGTGCAAAAGAAAGGAGATGGCAAAGTTTATGCCATGAAGTCCTTAATCAAGACGGAAATGTTTAAAAAGGACCAGCTTGCTCATGTGCGATCTGAGCGTGATATTTTGGCCGAGTCTGACAGTCCCTGGGTCGTTAAGCTCTACACCACGTTCCAGGACGCATACTTCCTATACATGCTCATGGAGTTTCTGCCGGGTGGTGACTTGATGACGATGCTCATCAAGTATGAGATTTTCTCTGAAGACATTACTCGATTCTACATTGCCGAAATTGTTCTTGCTATTGAGGCGGTTCACAAGCTCGGTTTTATTCACCGGTCAGCTCGCTCTCCCCCTGTTTGCCTGTTCAAATCACAATCATTCTAACCTAACCCACTTACAGAGATATCAAGCCTGACAACATACTGCTAGATCGAGGCGGTCATGTCAAGCTGACTGATTTCGGTCTTTCCACAGGCTTCCACCGCCTACACGATAACAACTACTACCAGCAGCTTTTGCAAGGGCGATCCAACAGACCCCGTGACAGAAGCTCCGTTGCCATCGATCAGATCAACCTCACCGTCAGCAACCGTTCTCAAATCAACGACTGGCGACGGTCACGAAGACTTATGGCCTACTCCACTGTTGGTACGCCTGATTACATCGCCCCCGAGATTTTCACCGGCCATGGATACTCGTTTGATTGTGACTGGTGGTCACTGGGGACTATCATGTTTGAGTGCTTGGTTGGATGGCCTCCGTTCTGTGCCGAGGACAGTCACGATACCTACCGCAAAATTGTCAATTGGAGACAGACTCTGTACTTTCCAGACGACATCACACTAGGCGTAGAGGCTGAAAACTTGATCCGAAGGTTAGCCAACCTCTTTCAATTCCTACCAATAATCCAACTAATATGTCATCTAGCATGGTTTGCAACACTGAGAACCGTCTTGGACGGGGGGGAGCCCACGAAATCAAGAACCATGCCTTCTTCCGTGGTGTCGAATTCGACAGTCTTCGTCGTATCCGAGCTCCATTCGAGCCTCGCCTGACATCTAACATTGACACCACTTACTTCCCTACCGACGAGATTGACCAGACTGATAATGCTACCGTTCTAAAAGCCCAGGCATTGCAGCAGGGCCGCCAGATCGAAGAGTCGCCGGAGATGAGCCTGCCGTTTATTGGATACACCTTCAAACGATTCGATAACAACTTTCGATAGGTGAAAGGCCAGGCTTTTTGCATCGAGGCGGCGCGTTGTTGCTTGGGGATTTTAAATTAAAATAAATAAGGCTCGAGGGATGCATGGATGTATTGTTGCGGTAAAAGTGCCTGGCTTTGAGAGTTGGCGCAATATGTTCAATGGTAAGGCATGCATGTATCACACAGAATAAATGCTGAGCGTTGTCTGTCATGTATGAGTGCTTGTCAGAGACAACACGGTGAAGGCGAGGTACATGAGATGAGGGACGTGTGCCACTTGGCGAAATCTTTTGCACGAAACTAGTTCAGCGCTGTATGGGTGAGATTTATGTAGCCTTGAACACGGTGATGAGCATTAGTCTATATATGGATGGGTATATGCGATGTTTCCTTTTTCCTGGTCCTTGTTTCATGAATTGACTAGAATTACCTGTGGCCACTCTAGGCCTATTTTATTCTCCGCAGCTGTGTGCATTCTGCGGCCATGATTCTTCCTGGACAGTCCTTCATTGCTGCCGACGCCACGCGCCTTGGTGCCCTGATATGACGCCATTCTTATGTCTCGCAACGCCCTCTTTTAACAATTGCCCAAGACTCCTTGTTCCCCCAAAACCACCGTTCCCCCCTTCTTTCCAACTTGCTCACCTCCTAGCAGCCAACCCCGGTGCAGCATTAAACCTCTCCTCCCGCTCCGTCATGAACATGACCTGTATCCAAAACTCCTTGGCGTCCGGGTCCCAGAAGCAGAAGCCCCTGCCTTCTCTCTTATCCAGTTCCCTCGCAGGGATCTTGAACCCGACCGTCTCGTACGGCTCGGCGGCGACCAGCAGATACTGAAAGTTCTTATCCGGCTCCTCGACACGCTGCGTAAAGGCATTCATCACCTGCCACTTGGGGCTCATGTCGGGCGCGGCCTCGGGGTACTGCAGCTGGAACAGTAGGCCCTGCTGCCTCGTCACGGGGTCCCGGATCTTGGTGATCTTGTAGCCGGGGCGGCCAATCTTGACGGCGTTGCGTCTCGGGCCGCCCGCGAAGGAGGCGGCGACGCTCGAGGGGAGGCCCGTCGCCGGGTCGATGTTGGCCTTGCCCTCCCTCTGCTCGCGGGCGGCGCGGCGCGCGAGGTTGGTCTGGTGCTTCTTGCCCTGGGTGTGCGCGAGGTACGACCCGTCGTTCTGGTGCACCGTCAGGCAGAGCCGGCACTCAAACGAGCCGACGTGGTTCTTGAAGAAGTACGGGTCCTTGTCGAGGTCGATTGTTTCGAGGGCCAGCTTGCGCAGGCGTTCGCGGCGGTCGGCGTTGGTGGCGGAGTGGGAGGCCACGCCGCCGCCGCCGAATTTTGAGCCCGCGCGGTTTTGGTAGTCCATTTCTTTTTCTTTTCCTCGTTTTTCTCCCTTGTCTCTTTGTCGCTGTGTAGGTCCTTGGGTGAAGAGTCGACTGGGCTGGGGTTGCGGTGTTGAGATGGGCGTGGTTGTGGTGGATGTGGATGTTGGAGGTTGATGATTGAAAAGTTATGGGTTTCGGCTTGCTTCCCCGGGCCGGAGGTGGGTCTTGATTAGGCAGTGGACCAATTGGATGTTACGCTACTCTGCACGGAGTAGTTGCGACTTCTCGTAATAAGTTCTTGTGTTTATTGAGGGGTGCCGACAGCTTCGCCTTTTCTTCTTCTTTTTTTGCAGACCAAGGTGTGTTTGATCTGGATACATCATGCCATATATTGGCTAGGCCTTTGTCTCTTTTGTTTTCCTTGTTTGTCGAACGGCGTCATTCACTCCGTCAACCATGCCTGCTTTGCAGGAGCTCGCGACAACATTGGGGCAAGCAAGGGCCAGGTACATCCAGCAGAACCCCAAATCCAAAGCGCTGCACGCGGAGGCAGCAAACTCTCTCCCCGGGGGCAATACACGGGCCGTTTTACACGCGGATCCGTTCCCGCTGTATATAAAGTCTGGGCGTGGATATCAGGTCACTTCCGAAGACAACGCGACGTGCGTTCCATCCCCAACTGCCACACCTTCGTCTCCACCCCCGACCGCAAAGGCCACGTTGAGCAAGAGGTGAATGTCGTCCATTGCTTCTAAGAAGTGCCAGATACACCGACTTCACGGGCGAGTTCACCGCCGCCCTCTACGGCCACTCCCCCCCCGTCATCCAAAACACCATTACTACTGTCCTGACTACCATCGGCCTCAACCTCAGCGGCACCATACGCGCCGAGCAGTCCCTCGCAAGAGCTATATGCGCCCGCTTCAACGTGTCCAAAGTACGCTTCACAAACTCCGGCACCGAGGCTAATCTCCAAGCCCTCGCTGCCGCGAGACGCTTCACCAAGAAGCGCAAGGTCGTGGTCTTTGGTGGCGCCTACCACGGGGGCGTGCTAGGCTTTGCGGGTGGGAAACCAGCTGCCAATAATGTTGATCTGGACGACTGGATTGTCGCCAAGTACAACGATGTGGACGGTGCGACGAGGGCGATTCAGGACGAAGGTGTGGCGGCGGTTCTTTTAGAGGCGATGCAAGGGGCGGGGGGTTGTGTTGTCGCGACAGAAGAGTTTCTGAAAGCTGTCGAAGACGCTGCTAGGAAGGTTGGATGCCCTTTTTTTTCTTTTGGGACTTGATACGCCTCGACTGTTGGGATCGCCGATTTTGGATTGCTGATTTGCTGTGGCTTACAGGCAGGTGTCGTATCCATCCTCGACGAGGTCATGACTTCGCGTCTTTGCGCGCACGGCCTCGCTTCTATTCGCAGCATCACGCCGGACCTCAAGACGTTTGGCAAGTGGCTCGGCGGCGGCATTACGTTTGGTGCGTTTGGCGGTCGGGAGGACATCATGGCTGCGTATGATCCCTCGCAGCCGGACCCCCTGCCTCACTCGGGCACCTTCAACAACAACACGCTTGCTATGCATGCGGGCTACGCTGGTCTCACGGAGGTTTACACGCCCTCAGTGGCGGATGAGTTTACAGCACTGGGGACCGAGTTTCTGCGTCGTCTGAATGGGGTGAGCAGGTACAGTATACTGTGCTTCACGGGATTGGGAACGGTCATGACGGCTCACTTTCCCGTTAACGGGGAGAAGGATATCCGAGATGGAGCTGATGTAGAAGAGAGGAGCGAGCTGAAGGAGTTGTTTTGGTTGGAAATGCTGGAGAATGGGTTTTGGGTGGCGAGACGGGGGCTTATTGCGTTGATATTGGGCACGCCGAGGCGTGAGCTGGATAGGTTTGTGGATGCTGTGGAGGCTTTCATTCAGCGATATGAGGCTTTTTTGAAGCCGACGGTGGGCTAGTAGTGAGTTTTGATACTAGGCTATGTGTTGATTGGATGTGAGGATGCTGGTATCGCGATGACGTGTTGAGGATTTCATGTAGTGTGGAGGAGACTTTCTGGACGGGGCAAGGTAAAAATACAGGTCCATTTTGCGGTGTCGAGGAGGACTTATATAAGCATCGTGAGGAATGATGGAAATTGCAATATTAGATACTTTTTCCTACGGCGCCTCGCAGGTATATATTCGTGAGACTATCAACAGCCACTTGCGGTCTGCGCCCTTATGATCCCTTGTTTTCATTACAAGTTCATTGAAGTAGACGCCGCACTTGCTAGGCGTATAGTTGTGAGGGTAAAATGCGTTTCGCAGTTTCTTTCCCCCCGTCTGTCTTGTCACGGTGCTCAAGGCTCGTGCACGCGACACATCATCGCTCCCGTCCAAGCTTTGCAGGCAAATACATACTTCTGACGTGCATTCAATGTATTGACTGGGACCATGCCCAAAACCCCTCAAACAGACAAATGCATTCAGAAATCGCATATTAAAGGAAATCTGCCACTATATGGCGGCATTTTATCCCCAGTCGGCATAAACTCCGGCCGTCTACCTTGGTAGATGAATCCCCTATCATGATCTGGTATCTTTTCATAACATTACAAATCTATACTTTCTCGAAACAGTAGATCTTGTTTTGATTTTGCTGCCCACCCCCAGGATATAAGAAAAAAAAAATCATGGCCGGTCAAACGGTCGTGCATATTCGAGCATAAGGTGTCGCAATTTAACTTTTACCTGCATAAGACATTCAACGTACCTGCGCACTTTCTGGCAAACCCAATGCCCAAATAGCACCGTCGTGGCAAACCACCGACTGGTTAATGCGTCCAGATGGAGTAATACCCGGATGTTGTAAGGACGTTTATGGAGAGACACCGGGAATGGGTCCAACGTTGCTACGCCGACACCTGTTGCACTGCTGGACGCCATGTAATATGTTCATCTCCGTGATGATGGGGTTTAACAGCCTTGTTCTGCCTGCGGCAACAGGGCCGATTTCGAGCCGCGGGTGGGTGTCAACCATTTTCGTAGGGCAAGCAAATAGCACATGCGAAATGTAGCTTCGTTTTGTATCGCCTGGATCACATTCGACCAGGAAACCAGAAGCAACGCCGGCGCCGGCGCCCAGGCCAACTACTACTACGTGGCAAACCATCTGGATGCCTCGTAAGAAAGCTTGACCAACGAGATGCAGATGCTCATTCAGCCCTGTGATTGGGTCCTTGTCGTGCCGACTCACTTCTGCGCTCATCGTGGCCAAGCTACAAGTTGTAGTTGGTGAGCCTTCATGTACACTCCACACCAAATGGTTGGGACGAACCAAACGGATGGTGAATGGTTTGAATGAGCCAAAGCTCTGAGGGCCCAAAGTCGCCCCCAAGTTGAATCGAACCTGTGCCCAAATGGTGTTGCCAATGCAATGTGGAAGACGGGACATCTTTGCTAGCTGTTCCAACACGAGGCCATGTTGACATGGTTGACCACACTCATTCGCTCGTGGTCCTCTGTGTTCTGACCAACCACCGTTTCAAGACGACACTGACCCCCGAGGAGCAACGAGATGAAGGTGTGCGAGGCTCATTTTGCAACGTCTTGAATTCCAAGTTTTCCCTTTACTTCGGGCTGTTGGCGGCGCTGATCCGCCACGTCCGTCGTATGTAGCCGTACGTGTGAATCGAAATCGACCAGGATGA